GGAGCAAATGAAACCTGTACATTCATTACACCAGGGAGCAAATGAACTACATGATTCATTGCAATTTAACCCTTTATTGAAGTGGCATTTGAATTTATTGGCCTTCAGATCACCTGACAAGGCAACAGGTGTCTGATAAGATGGGGGTAAGTAACATTCTGTTCAAAACCTCAAGGTAGAGATTATAGCCATTCCTCAAACTGTAAAGATCAAAAAGCACAGATAGAAGTCCAATCTTTTATAAGAGGCAATTTATTCTAGGTGGTCAGGGCTGATTCAGAACTACAGTCAGTCTACAGCTCCATAAAGAAGGATGGAATAATACGGTGTGTTTTCCATGGTGCTGTATTCTTTCAATTGAATCTTGGATTGAGTTTTTTCACTTAATATTAGTTCCATTCTTGTTTTGGCTTATCCTTGTTTTTATGAAATGCCAGGTTTCAATTAAGATGGCAAATGGAGTGTTGACAGCGATCACTCCCTATTCAAATGTATTTATTCAGACATTTGGAATTATTTTAGAATTCTGGATTTATTCAAGACAAGTGACTCAAGGCAAATTTCAAATCTGCCCAGGCATCAAATTCTGCCTGTGCAAAGTAAAAAAAATTAGTAGCAACTTATGCAATAATATTTATGAAGACATTAGCACAACGTATAGGACATAGTAGAAAATCAATAATTGGTGATGGATATATATATGTATATATATATATAAGACAACATGTGTTTTCTAGGTAAATAGAGTGTCTTAAAGGTAATAAAATAACTGCAATTTCACAATGTGTTAAATATGTACACCCATTTTTTTCATGGTGACTTTATTTGGAATTATTCATGCCTTTGCTCTAAGAGTCAACCTCAGGTGCAAGCACCAAAGGGATTTTTCATTTGATGCCTGCTGATGTTGATGAGTAATATTCTAGAACCATTGTAAAGTTAGATTGTGTATACTACTGAAGTTGTTGTTGGATTTAGATTCAAAATCAGACTTTGGGACCTAGGACTAGTGCTTCCTATTATAGAATGAGTATCTTCAAATTTCCAGTGCTTAATAAATTATAGTTACTTAACTAGTATTTCTCTCTTCTTGGGGGGGCTGGGATGGGCCCCACCCAGTGTGCTCAGGGCTTATTCCTATATCTGTGCTCAGGGATTACTCTGAGCAGTGCTCAGGGGACCATATGTGGTGCCAAGGATCAAACTGCAGAATCTCATGCAAATCAAATATCTTAATCCCCGTACTAGCTCTCTGGCTCCTTCAACCAGTATTTTTTTGATGATTTGAATGAGTTATGTAAAAAAGGAATCTCAGGGGCTACCACAGTCATATACTATTATGGTTTTTACAATTATCTAATGCTATTTCTTTCAGGAGCCCATCTCAAACAGATACAGTTTTTGTTTTTGTTTTTAGATTACACTTGGTGGTACTCAGGGTTTACGCCTGACTCTGAGGTTAGGGATCGCTACTGATAGGGCTTTGGAAACCATATGGGATGCTAGGGATCCAACCTGGCTTGGTCACAAGCAAGGTAAGGCTTTACCACTCTACTATTTCTCTGGCCTCAACAGATAGCATTATAATAATAATAATAATTAATAATAATAATAAGTGACTTCTAACTTACTAAGTTGCGAAGAAAGGCAGAAAATAGAAAAAAGCTGAGAATTCTTCATGACTAAAGCACAATTCATGTAGGTCCATGATGGATATTCCAGATATTCTGGCAGGCAGCTTCCTGGTTAAGAGTGAGGCTATGTATGAGCTCAAGGACTTACTACTGTCTCTCTCACCTCAAATGTGCCTGCCTAAGGGGGGCGGGTCACATCGTGGAACCTGTAACTACTCTTATGCTAGGTGGGCTGTGTAATGACTGATAGTAGAAGTTTCTACAGGCCACTGGAGGAGTGAAAAGGAGGGAACACTTTGGCTGTCACGTTGGCCTGGGATGCTCCCATCACTCTTAGGGAAAGCTGGCACTGCAGACAGTATTAAGGCACCTATTTTGGTCAAGTTCAGCTGCAAAAGCTGAAGAGGTCAATGACATGACATATCTAGGTTTTCCAGGGCCTAAAGCTAGGGTGCTTTAGGTAAGAAAAATAATGTAAACCCCCAAGTTTAAAAATGAAATACAACTGGTGAAGGGATGGGTGTTGGAGCATTATATGACTGAAACCCAATCACGAACAACTTTGTAGCTGTATCTCACTGTGATTCAACTAAAATAAGTAAACTTTTAAAAATTAAGTACTTAAACAAGTACTTATGGTTGGACCAATAGTATGGTAGATAGGGCGATTGCTCTGCACGTAGCAAACCCGAATTCAATCCCAGGCAACCCAGCATGGTCCTGCAAACCCTGTTAGGAGTTATCTCTGAATGCAGAGCCAGGAGCCCTGAAAATTTCCAGGTGAAGCTCTAAAACAAACAAACAAATAAACATAAAATCTGGGGTAATTAAACACAGGAGATCCTTGCAAGTAGGAGTGCCAAAGCTTGAGTTTCACTAGATATGTGCTTCTAGATGATCAGAGTCCAAATTTTAAGACAAATGATTTAGTGGTAGAATGTTAAAGCACAGGACTTTCCTAAGTGTTTACCAATAAGAAAATAGGTATAGATTCGACATGGCTCCACAGACAGACATCAAGTACCCAGTGTGCAGAGAGGAGGGAGGGAGGCTGTAGGTAGGCAGAAGGGACCACCCTGAAGGATGTGTGCAGGAAGACTCCTGCCAACTGGAAAGTCTAGGAACTTGAGAATCCTTGAGTTTCCTTTCCACATAAAAAAAAAAAAAACAACAAAAATCACCATCAAAAAGTTTTCTAAATTACAACCTCATCCACCATTTTCCTGTGGTTAACAGTTTCCTAAGATAAATAAATAATAATCAATGTATTTTTTTATTGAGATTAAAGGAGAAAGGGAACCAAGAAGTTAAGGTTGAACTGACAAGCACTTGCTTCTGCCCTCTGCTGGTGATAGAAGGTTCATGTGTATCTGGCAGAAAGGGCTGCTGGCTTTGACTCTTGCTTTAAGTTGTTATCACTGAGTAGCATTCAAGGTGGCGGGGAATATTGGTTTTAGTTGTTGGTTTTTTTTTTGGGGGGGGGGGAAGTCCTCTCGAGCAGTTCTCAGGGCTTCATGACTCCCAGGGATACTCAGCTATCTGAATTAGATAGTTTAGGTCTCAGGCAAGTGATGTGTGGCTGCCCAGTATGGTGGTGCTGGAGACACTATGGCTATACCCAGGGGTGCTGGTGGAGAGAACAGTGGAGCTCCAGGGATCATACAGGGGAACTTGCATATGCAAGACATGCACCCCTGACACCAGAGCTGTCTCCACATGGGCCCTGGGGCATTGGTTTGATTGAAGGTTGATAGAAAGGTGCTCATTAGACCTTAGGTGAATAGAAGAATGAACTAAATTATTCAAATTTGAGCCCATGAGGCCAACATTTAAAAAAAAATTTGGCCACACCCATCTGTGTTCAGGGTTTACTCCTAACTCTGCACTCAGGGATCAATCCTGGTGGCTCAGGGGACTATATAGGGGTGCCAGGAATCAAACTTGGGTCAGTCATGTGCAAGGCAAAATTCCTACCACCTGTACTATTGCTCCAGCCCTCCTCCCCCAATGTGATTTTTGGTCCTAAGAATTCTGAAATTTTCTCAGATGTCTTTGAATGCATTGAAAAGTTCCTCCTGAATAAGGTCTAGGTTTGATGGCAAAAGGGTGAGGAAATGGAATGAACATTTCTTGAATTCCTGATACAGGCTAGATATTTTGCTTGAAGATTTGCCTCAGAATCTTTGGGACCATTTTGAGGTGCTCACAGACCGAAACAACCCATGTGTGACTTTACAGGAGCAAGTGACAGAGTCTGGCTTCAGATCCAGATTTGCTGCCAAGGCCCATTCTCAGATTCAGCATCTCTTTCATTTGGGCTTTTCACCAAATATGGAAGATACATGAAACAGATATTAGCTAGTGTAGGGAAGAATCATCTGTGGGTGAGTGAAAAGTCACGATGCTCGTCTATCAGTAGTATAGGATTTGTAGCCTTACTTACCTGTTTGGCAGACCAGAGGATTGTGCTAGAGGCCTGCTGAATCACAGCCAGGCAAGTCCCTAATTTATACCTATTGTTCAAGGCTATGTTATCAGTACCCTGTCCATTCTCCAGGACTTCAACTATGGACCATAAATTCTAAGGCTGACCTGTCCCTAAGGTTCTTCCTGTCTTAATTTCTATGATTTCAAATAGAGTCCAATCATTTCTTCAATGGCTGAAGCAAAAGGAACTTTCATTTTCCAGACCTTTGTGGTGAACCCAAAGTGACAGCACCCCAGGTGACATTTGTCTAAAGCAGTGTTTCTCAACTGGGGACCCCTGGGAACAGTCCAAGGGTTTGGGGAGTGCCATAGGTGAAAGTTGTGAAAATGGGGCTCACAGCATAAGATGAGAGGGCCAACTGGTAGCCTCGGAAGGAAACCAGAACTGAAGGTTGAGGAATACTCTGTTCTCCAGGGGACTTTGCTTTTCCTGATATGGATTTTATTCCCCTTGCTGCTGGCCCTTTGTCAAAAAGTGTACCAGTAATTACTCTTCTGTCAGTTTGCTTGCAGTTAACTGGGAATACATATTTGTCTCATACCACTGGTGGTGCCAGTTACTAAGTGCCTTGAAAAAAGAAAATAAACAATGCCAGAATCTGTAATCCCATCTTCCATTGCTTCCCCCACTTTCCTTACCTGGATCAGAAGCATCTGCCTCAAGTAGACAGATTTTGATTAAGTTTTGTTTTTTCATGGGGAAAAAACCCCAAGGAATTAGAAAAATAGATGTGATGAATATTTAGATACACCTTTTTTTACTTTTGTGTGTGTGTGTGATGGGGGCAGGGTGTTCTTTACCAGATGATCAGAAAGCAGAGGTTTACTTTTGTGTTTATATTTATATAGACAATTTTAAATAAAAGCCACCATTTGACATGCATATCATTCTGGTTTTATTTATTGTCTGGCTAACTTACAAAGACAGAGCTCTCTAGGGTAGACACTACCCCACCATTTAAACTATCCCACATGGCAGAAGATACCAAAATGTGCATGTTTACATAGTGCACTGGTATGAAAAACCTGTCTTCCTTCCTTTACTAACTAAAACCAGGGAAAACTTAATTTCAAAAAAATTGGAATGCTTTAAGCAATTATTTCATTCTTGTTATTAACATAAAAAATTGATAGTACAAGTTAAAATAGGAATGCCTAAAAGTTTTTACAAATATGCAAATCATCTGCTACTTACACATAAAAAAAGATTTATTTCTTTCAAATCACAAGTAAGGCACCATTTGATTAAACTTTTTTCAGCGTTTGCTAAATAAAATGCACAGTGAAATAAATATAAAACACTGAATTTTAATACTGTAATACATTTCAATATAAAATGATATGTGAATGTTAAAACACTGTATTGCATGTTGAATACATTTATCTGAAATTTTATGGGAAAAACACTTGAGAGCTCAAAATTTTAGGGAAGAAAAAATACTCATTTCTGTGATTTGCCTTAGCTGACAATCTTAGAATAGAACTTACTTAAAGTTTTGGATACAATTAGTTACTAGCCTTCACAGTGTATGATTTATTAATGAAATATTCATTTAAGCATCTTTTGAATAAATTCTAAAACATCCCTCTTCTGAATAAGTAGCAATTGGGAGGTATGACCATACTTCAAACTTTACAATGGTACCTACAAAATTGTAGGGACACATAGCGGAATTGATCCTTTCACACCACCCCTTAAAATTTCAGACCCACTTGTTTTGGGTTCGATTTTGCTATATAGCAGAAAGATTAAATGCCATCTTTTCTGCAGTGGGTCAAATGGCTTTTCCATGGGGATGTTTCTGAACAAACTCTATCTGATCAAAGAATCCAAAATACTGATACCAAAATATTAGGGCTTAATATTTTTTTGGGAAATAGTTTGTCAAACTGTTACACCTCATATTTCTTTTTTTCCTGTTTCAGTAGAGTCACTTTCCCAAGTGATGGTATTAAAGATAGATGAATGGTAGAGGAGAGAAGGATTCTTTCTCTCCAAGTTCTCTAAAATATTTCTAAGTCCAGGACTTTGGCAAGGAAAGATAGAAAAATACAATCTATTGAAAACAGTCACTTTATAATTTATTAGCCATTCCATTCATTTGAACTCCAAGTTCTTTTTGCTTTTACAGAAATAAAACAATGACTTATTCTATAAATAGGAATGTTCTGCTCCAATTTTTCTTTGGATTTATTTCTGGTTAGTATCTCCCAGTAATATATGAACAATCTGCTGAACCCATGATACAAACTTTAGATTTACATATGTGGTTGGTGCTTTTAAGGCGGGGAAGGGGGGTGCTGGGGGGAAAGGCCTCATGGTAGTTTTAAACATCATCTGTTGTATAAAACATCTAAAGGGAATATTTTTTTCCCAACTCTACAGCTAGATTTAAAAGTCCCAATAAAGTTTTGTAAACAAAATCGTATTTCAAAAGGCAAGGCTGCTCTTCTCTCTGGTCCGTTAGCAGAGCTTTGTTTGCATAGATCCACGGCAAAGACATTCTACAAAGACATTTCAGATTTGCTGCCTTTCCCAGACATTGGTTCCCCACAACACTGGGAATGGATGAGCTCCCATCCCTGCCCTGAAGAGCCATCCAGGCGGGAGCAGAAAGCAGCTGCTTTAAACGTGCACCTCGGAGACCGGCTGACAAGGACAGAGCCAGAGGGTGCCTGGCTCAGGCTCGGAGCCATTCAGGTCTTGGGTGGAATAAAAAAAAACTAGCTGATCTGTTTCCATCCTGGGTCCTGCAGAACAACACTTGGAGAGAGGAGATGGAGGGAAGGGAAAAGGGAGTAAAATCATAGATCAAGCTGTCTGCCGGTTAAGGTGCTGCATACTACCTACTCTTATTTTCTTGAATTGCTGAAGCTCGTCTTGCCTTTCCCGTTCTTTTCAAACAGCACGGACACTAGCCTCTGTCTCAGACCTGTACTGTCCAATAGAGTAGCCCTGGCCACATGTGGCTACTGAGCATTTGCAATGTGACTGAGTCCTCTGAGTGTTCATTACACACTGGGTTCTGAGGACTTCAAATCCTCCAAAAAATAAAAGGGGGAAAAACAACCCCTCATGAATAATTGCTATAGTGATTACAGGTTGAAACAGTACTCTTTCAGACAACATCTACTACATATTAATTTCACCTATTTCTTTTCCCTTTTTAATGTGGCTGCTAGGATTTTTAAACTGTCAATATGGCTCACAATTTTTTTTTAGACAGCTCTGTCCTAAAGCCGGTCTCAAACTGTCTTTGTTTGTTAGCGGGGCGTCCTGCAATTGTGAATGTTTCCTGTGAGCCCTGGCTCAGCACCCTGCTTAGGTGGTCTCTGGTTCATGGAAACAGATGGAAAGCCAAGCATATACATAAAAAAAAAGAAAGAAAGAAAGGAAAAAAAGACATGGGGAAAAAACAGTCATCGGGAACTTTAATCATTATAGTCTGCAGGAAATAAGCAGTGGACACGTGAATTTGGCGGGTGGGAAGCTGAGACATCTCAGCTCACAAAAGCCTATCCACCCCAAGCAGCAGCCAACAGCCTGGGCTGCAGCTGAGCAAGCAATAGCTTTGTAGATATACACAACATAAAAGCGAGGTGCACTTCTTAACTGGATTCCATAGCGCACATGCGTGCTGCCACATCACCCTCCCTTCTTCCTGGCAGCCAGTCTGCTGGGGACAAGTGAAGACAAGGTATGCAACTCCTAGAGGACAACAACAGAAGTTGCCTCCGGGTTCCTGTGGCGAAGAACCGGCAAAGATCACCTGGGGATGGGAGGAAGAGGCGGGGCACCCCTTTCTCTTCGGTTGGATCCACCTTGGGAAAAATAGGCAAATATAAATTTTGGTTAGAAAATGATGTTCTCACAATAGAAACTCAAGGATGGTTGCCAAGGTACTCACAACTGTCCCCCACCCCCACCCCCACCCCCCTCTTGGGCCAACATGATAAATGGCATGTGTAAATGGCAAGAGGACAGATATAAAGGGAAGAGGCAGGGCACGCTGGAACAAACAAGGGGAAAGGAGGTGGGCCCATCGCTGCATCCCCTCCTACCGCAGCACCTACACAAAATGAAGTTTAAACAATCGCATATGTTTGTTCCAGTTTTAGAAAATATCACTGAACAAACACAAAGAATTTAGCCTTGCCTGCACCACTCCGAGGTATGAACCAGTAAGTTTTTGTGTGTGTATACTTCTGGTGTGCTCAGGGCTTACTCCTGGCTCTTTGTGCAGAGATTCTCTTGGCAGTGCTCAGGGATTGCTCCTAGTGGGTCTCAGGGACATTCAACAGTACTATCTCTCTAGCCCTGATTTCTACGTTATTAATAGTCCCCTTTTTATCATCTCCAAAGAGGATCATAGAGTGTGAATGTTTTTTTCAAAGGCATTCTTCTTCTAAATTCCCCTTGCCAGGGACCTCTATGGAGTGTTTAGGATCATTTTGGACAGGCATTAGTTTGTTTGCACATCTTTCAAAGTCATTCTTTTTCTTTTTAAAAATTATTATTTTTCCTCACAGTGGCTCACCATGAGGTCGTCAGGGTTGTGTAACTGCAAGCAAGGTGCTAGGGATTAAGCTCAGGACCTTCCACTTGCCCCGGGCACTCTCTAAGTCATCAGGTCATCTTCCAAGCCCTGTCTTGCCAGCAATCTTTTAAGAGCTGTGAGGATCCCTTCTGCACTTGTGGGTAGCACAACAGTTTGATTTGCACTTGCTGTGCATTTGTGGTCAAGAATTTTAAAGCACCAAGCCACCTTCCAGGCTCTTTTCATTAGGAATCAGTTGCAATCTTTTGTTGCAAGTATTTTCTTTATAGACAGGTTCAACTAGAAAACAATAGTCTAATGGAAACAATACTTCAATACTTTCATATGAGTGAGTGGAAGAAAGAGAAGTATTCAAAACTTGACAGATAACATATGCCAGATATAACTGAGAAATATCTGCCTCGGTGTTACCATGTATAGGCAGTAATTAGATTTTTACATATCTCAATTGCTTCTTATATTCAGGGAATATGGAAGTTAGAGATTAGCATATATGGTGAGAGCTGATTTTTCATCACTGTGGGTATATTGAAACTTTGCTAGAATTTAGGGGATTCTAGGAGGAGTTCTCATCTGTACTCCAGAGTCAGGTAGATTCGTATAGAACCCTCAGTTGGATCACCCAGGCCATTCAAATATGACCACCAAGAGCCCCTGCAGAAATACTCACTCCGGCTTTCAGTTCTTGCCAATTTACTGGGATAACTCTTGGTCGTTGGCACATATGGCTCTGGAGGTGGCAAATCAGAAATCGGGTGGAAGTAGAATCTGCTTTCCCACTCATCTGAGGGACAGAAACAAACAGGATCTTCAGGGACAATAAATTCGAGGCACAAAAGGGACAGAATGGAACAGAGAAGACAGCAGAGATCATATCTAGTCTTATAGCTATAACCTTAGAGCAAAGCTGGCCGTGCCATCAAGGCTCCAATTACTCATGGATGAAACACACAGTCTGCATGGCAAACCTGAGACAGACCCCAGGATTCTCCCTCAAGTGATCAGGATACAGCTAGTCCTGCTTCAAATTGTAGGCTAAGGTTTGAGACATTTTCTCCACACAGTGGACCAAAAATAATGGGGACCCCCAATGGCAAGAGAGAGGATAGTTACTTTCTAGCTATTAGGCCTCAGCCAAAGCAAATCTTATTAATTTATTTTTTGTTTTGGGGCCATATCCAGCGGTGCTCAGGAGTTACTCCTGGCTCTACACTCAGGAATTACTCCTAGCAGTGCTCAGGGGACCATAAGCGATGCTGGGAATTGAACCTGGTTTGGTCGTGTGCCCCACCTGCTGTACTCCAGCCCCAAACAAGATGGGCTGCTAAAATGAGGGGTGTTTTTATGTTTGCTTTGGGGTCACACCCAGCAGAGTTCAGGACTTACTCTTGGCTGAGTGGGGGGGTGGGTTATATGGGGCTTCAGAGATCAACCTGGGTCAGCCCTGTACTATTGTTCTAGCCCTTTATTTGTTTTTGTGTTTGTTTGTTTGGGGACCACATCTAGCTGTGTTCAGGACTTACTCCTGGTTCTGTGCTCAGGGATAACTTCTGGAGGGCTCAGGGAACCATATAGGATTCTGGGAATTGAAATTGAGTTGGCTATGTGCAACACAAGCATCTTACCCACTGTACTATTTCTTCAGCTCAGCAATTTTTATTTATTTATTTTTTGTTTTGGGGCCATACCAGTGGTACTAAGGACTTACTCTTGATTCTGCATTCATGAATCACTCCTGGATGACTTGGGGGATCATACGAGGTACAGGAGATAGAGCCTGGGTTACTTAAGTACAGGGCAAGTGCCCTATTAGCTGTACTATTGCTATGACGCGCCCCCCACCAATTTTTAATTTTATTTTACTTCTTTAATTGAATCACTTGAGATAGACCCTTACAAAGCTGTTCATGATTAGGTTTCAGTTATAGAGTGTTCCAACACTCATCCCTCCACCAGTGTACATTTCCCTGTGCCAGTGTTCACAGATTCCTTCCCATCACCCCTCTTCCTCTTCCCCAGCCTGCCTCTATGGCCAATGCTCCAAGAAAACTTTTTAGAACAGTGGATTAAGGGCAGCCAGTGACAAACATGACTCCTCAAAGAATTCTGCAATGACTGGCCAATTCATCAAATGAGACTCCAACAGCAAACAGTCCAGTTTCACAGCTTCATGACTAAAATCTCAAGAGATTCCAAGCCAACGAAAGTCATAGGTAGACCAGTCTTCAGGAAGCCTTCTCAGGATAGGGGTGGACTGAGAATTATCCCAGTTCCACAGGCCCTAGGGTGCTAGGAGCATGTGGCCACATATGCGGCTGTGAAACACCTCCAAATTCCACAAAACTAACAGCCTAATAGGAGCACAGCAAATCAGATGGGAAAGTAGCATAGAAGCTCACTAAGCTCAGTAAACAAAAACAATTACACAGAAGGCTCAACTAGCAACAACAGCTCAATAAATCCTCAGACAATGACTTTAATAACAACATTGTGAGATATAATAATTTTCACAATTTTTATTTTACTGAACTATCTTGTTAATTCCACTTACTTTTCTGTTGTAATAAGCAATTTTAAAATAAATTACTTTATGTCTGCCAAGGGGGCAAGCTTGTGGGGTAGGTGAGAAACTGAGGATAATGGTGGAGGGGACAATGATGGTGAAACTGGTGTTGGAACACTGAATGCCCCAAACAACTGTTTTATGAACAATTTTGTAAAAACCATGATATTTAAATAAAGCTAGAAGGAAAAAAAGGAGACTCAAACAATGGAACTCAGAAGAAAATGAGGCCTATATTTACTTTGCTATTTTCTGGGGAATGGAAGTAGTGGGAACTGTCACTTCAGGCTGAAATTGAGGTGGGCACTGTCATAGTTATATGGAACATGCAGTTCTGTGAGGTAATAATGAAGGTTTAACAAATGAGAAATGTAAATGAAATCACACCACACACACACACACACACACACACACACACACACACACACGCACATCCTCTCTCTGGCTGCTCTCTGGCCTGCCAATGTTTCCAAGAAGCTGGGACCATTTCTTACCTTCACATGAAGAGTCTTGAAAGCCATTTCGAATTGATGTTGATGGTGGAGGTGGTGGAGGTACCCCAGTGCCAGGCCTGTCAGGAGGCAGAGGTGGCCTGGGTCCACTCCGGGGACCATCTACTACACTCCTAGATGGCAACTGCGGGGTGGCAGGCAGGGCCCGGGAGGCACTGCCATTTCTGTTTATTGGAGGTGGCGGAGGGAGAGGACCTGGAGTAAAAGGAAAGACAATACTCAGTTCCATGCCTTGAACCCCGCCTGCCTGTCACAGAAAACATGGAGACATGGCGGAGACTTTCTGGGAGATCACACTGAGCAATGAGCAAGTGCATATCAGCCCAGAGAAGCAGATGTGAACTTGAACACCTGTGAAATGAGCACATAGAGGAGCACACCTGTGAAACAGCTCAATGGCTGTTTGGTCTCTGAATTAGGACTGAGGCTGGAGAAGATAGACTGAGGATCTGCTCATGCTAACCACGATATGCTGGAGCGATAGCACAGCGGTAGGGCGTTCGCCTTACAAGCGGCCAACATGGCCAACCCGAGTTCGATTCCTCCGCCCCTCTCGGAGAGCCTGGCAAGCTACCGAGAGTATTCGATATGCCAGACACAGTAACAACAAAGTCTCCAATGGAGACGTTACTGGGCCCGCTCGAGCAAATCGACGATCAACGGGAGGGCCTTTTTATGGTTCTGAAATATGAGATTATTGAACTATGATTGTGACATGATCTGTTAAATCAATGCTGTTTTTCAAAGAAATTTTCTTTTTTTAAAAAATAGATTGTCAAAAAATTATTCTGAGTCTCTGGAAGCACTAGTTTCTTTAAAAGTGCGGTCTTCTTGCGAGTTCCACAATGATGCTTTTGTGAAACTCATGTTTCCAGGCAGAAGTGGCATCCAGAAAGCCAATGTGAGACTAGTAGAAGTTTCCTCCTAGTTCTTCCTCTTTGGGGAGGCGGGCTGAGAAGGGCTGACAGTTTCTCACTGTGTCTGCTTGCAGCGGCCTGTGGGCTTGATTTCCTGTCTACAAAATGAGTCAGGGCCCCCTTCCCACAGAAAGAATGAGTCAAAAGGAAAAGAAATGTCCTACAGAAAGACTTGAAACCACTTTTTAAAAATCTGTGGTATTAGAACCAGAGAGTTTTCAGGTCCTGGGATATAATCCAAAATAAATTTATTTTTCAAAGAATACACAATAAAACTATCTTTGATTTTCAGGTTTCCATTAACTTTTATATTCACTCTGGACCATACGTATTTTTTTTTAAAGTTTAGCAGCATCTTGTTTGTCCCCAGGTAGAGGTGATTTGGGCCATGAGTAAATTTAACAAAGGAAAAAAAGGGAAGGGGACATGACATCCCTCCTGTAAATAAAAATAATCTTAGTAGCTCTTCCTGCTCTTAAGCAATGAGCTCTATTTGCATGCTGACTTTATTTTATTATAGGGATCACACTCAGCAGTTCTGGAGCGAAGGGTGATGAGGAGCTATTCCTAGCTTGGGGCTCAAGGATCGCTCCTGGTAGTACTTGCAGGAGAATATGTGGTGTCAGAAATTTAAGGGATAGAGGGATGCAAAACATAGGCCTTAACCCTGTCTATCTTTCTGGCTGGTCCAGAAAGACCAGCATTTTAAGTGAGTACAAGCAGCATACTGCAGTGATCCCTGCCTGGAACAAAGGGCTAAGATTCCAAAGGAGGAGAGGTGCTGAGTTCTGGCTGGTTTCCCTGGAGTTGCCGGCTGTCTGTTCCTTACTGTAAGGTTTATTCAGTAGCCCTCTGAGTGTCATTACTGGAGTCCCAGTCGACAGAAGTAGACTGACTGCAGGGACATCGACCTCATACACTATGGATTTCACCTCCTTGGTAACACCACCCCACAACTGTGACTAAAGGGAAATAAGACTTCTAAAAAGAGACTGGGAAACATAATTTAGCTGATTCTTTTTCCTCTAACTCACCAGCCTTCTCCAAATGTAGTCAAGCCTAATAGAAAGAGAAGAGGTTTCTATTTTGGGTGGCACAAAAATAAAAATGGTCATTTGCTGATTGTTATTACATACCGGGAAAGAAGAAAAACCTCCATATACACTTGCCTTGCTACATCTTTGCGATAACATTGAAAGGGGGAAGGACAGAAGCAATAGTCAAGAGATGTTGGTGGGTATGAGACCCAAGTCAGGGGGTTAAGGAGCATCAGAGCCAGGAACTGATCCATAACAATGAAGTCAAGTCATGTCTCAAAACACTGATGCACCTGATTACCTCTGTTCCCTGTCCTGTGGGAGTGAGAATTGGTGGAAATTTCCTAGAAGTTGATTTGTGGTATATATGAGACTCATAGCTTATAACTGTAAACCTATTAGTTGAGAAATTACTATTTCAGGGATTCATCCAAAGGAAACACAAAGAGATGTGTATAAATATTGAGCTACAAAAATATATACCTTGCACATCAGCAACAGTAAAAATCTGAGATGGCTCTTATGAGCAAGTGAGGGAATACATAAATCAAGAGATCTTGGTAGGACAGAATATTATTTGGTCATTGAAACTCAGCTTCTAGGGGCCAAGAGATAGTACAGAAGTTAGGTCACATGCTAGGTATTTGGGTTCACTACCCTGCACCAGGCAGTCCAGAGTACCACCAAGAGCCCCAAACACTGTCTGGAGGCAAAGAGATAGCCCTAGAACTGCATTGCATCCACTGGCCCTTGTATTGAATGGATGACTCAGCCAGCTGAGAATTGCTGGTGGTACTCTGAGACCGCAAGAGTACCTCTTAGGAGGCCCCCAAGCAAAAAAAAAAAAAAAGTCAGCTTCTAAAAGAATAATCACATCAAAAACTGTTAAGGAGATAACATTACAAGAACCACAAATTACCATAGAAAATATGTAGTAATGTTGCTTTTGTACATTATATGTGTGTGTATACATGTATATTTCAAAAGACTGAAAAATGTTATCAATGATCTTTCCTGGGTATTTATACTTTTCTAGGGCATACTTTTCTATAATAAATAAGCATGGCATAAAGCATCAATTAAACAATAAATGTGAAATTTAATGTCCCTGCCTACATGATTTGGGGGAAAGTTGAATTTGCTGATTCATTCATTTGGTAGAAACATGCAAACAGTTCTTCAACCACTTTGGAGGGTGGAGGCAGACTGAGAAAACCCATCAAGTTTGAAAAAAAATTGCATTTTATTCATCCAATGACCTGTTCTCATTTCTTTATTAAAAAATTCCTATAAAATGCCACTATGTCCAGGAATAGAACTGACTCAACTAATAGCTTTCCTGTTTGTGCCAACTGTCCATGGAAGAGTGCTTTGGGGTGGTTCTCTACATTACTTTACATTATAACCACTGGGGAGCTTCTGAATATCCTTGCACCCCATCGGCAGTGCAAGCCAAGGGCAGCATAAGTGTTGGGGGAGGAACCAACATGTTTTGAAAATCACTCCTGATTTTCAAAAGTCTCCCAGTGAGAAGAATGGGGTGGAGCAGAAGGGACTTCTGTACAGTAATTGGGCAGATTTAGTACAGTCACAATGTCGGACTAAAGCATAAACATCAACACTACTGTAACAAACAGAAACAACCACCCAGATGATTCCAGTATGTGATCAGGTTTGAGAACTTTGATTTAAAAGCAATGGGTTTGCACAATGGGTTTGCTCCCCTGGGACCACATATGGTCTCAACATGGGAATGATCCCTGAGCACAGAACCAGGAGTAAGCCCTAAGCATCTCTGAGTGTGTCCTCCCAATCTAAAAAAATGAATAAATCCAAGCAGTGGTTTTCAACCTTTTTCACAATTGCTGTAGACTGGCAGTTGAAAACAACTGTCCCCCACCCTCCAAAATAGAAAACCACTGTCCAGAAAATACCCCCAACTTTCCAGGATCAGCAAGAAATTTCTGCTGCCTGGACAGCCCCCCAACCTCCAGCATGCCCATCCCCACCTCACCCCATCTGTGGTTGGGTAACTAAAAACCACTGGTTAAAAGAGTTCTGTTCATTCGATTCTTAGGGTCACAGGATGAGAGTCAATTCACTTGTCTTAAGACAATTGCCCAATTCCAGACATCTGGTCTGATAAGGTTAAAATCTAAAACACAGAGGCCTCTGCTGAATGTATGAATTGTCACTGTGAAACAGACAGTGCTCGTTATAGCAGTCCCATGATATTTTAGGTTGAGAGTTCTCACAGTCCAGATTCCCACCCGTGGATCCAGCTAGATGGTCAGAGGGGAAGGCGTCCTGCTCTGGGTCAGCAGGTTCTTCCATCCACAGAACAGCAGGAAGGTTTTGAATCTTTTGGGTGGTAGCTTCCAAGCAGTGCCTGAGATCCTGGGGTAACTAAGCAACATTTGGCAACCAAAAGTTTAATGCACGGTTGACAATGTGGTGTTGCCTGGGTGCAGCACTGGGGACCACTCAGGCTACACCTACTGGTACATGGGGGTAGGGACGGGACAGGCTCCCAGAGATTGAACTCATGCTTGAATGGCATTCTTGAATTGAGTTCCAGCAATTGACGCTATCTCTCCTTTGAGTATCTTAAGGAGAGAAGACTCTATCTTTATCTGATTCTCTAAGGGGTCTCTGCACCAGAGAAGGCAAGAATCAGCCAAATGGATTCTTAACAATTATCTTTCATGAACATGAAAGAAAGAAAGAAAGAAAGAAAGAAAGAAAGAAAGAAAACACCTTAAGGCTATATGGAAGAAACAAAGTACAGAGGGGCTCATTAGCTCCTGAATCGGTGCCCTCATTTAGGGACAATGAGCCCTTCAAAGATGGGAATTTAGGGCGGAGTCACCTTAGAAATGGAAGATAACCCTGGTAGAGTGACTGGTGCTGCAACACGCTATGTCTAAAACTCAACTATTAATATCTTTGTATATCACGGTGCTTTAATAAAATAAAACATTTTAAAATAGGCAGAGAAAAAAAGAGAAGGAAATGGAAGATGACAGAAAGTCTTAGTAAGTTGCCTGCCCTCATCTCACTTGATTGGTTCCTGTCTTCCTCCGTTCTGAAACAGACAGCGGTCTCCGCCACCCCCACCCGCCCGACCCGCCTCTCCTATTCTTGGGAGGTTTCCAGGAGGCCAAGAGGTGCCATCTGGTGTTAAGTACCCTCCCCTCCTAACCCCCAAAAGTATCAAAAGTTTTCTTCGGGTTTTGATTGGAGGGTGCACGCTCCCAGCTCTGCGCTCAGGGATCCATTCCCCGCGGGGCTCCAGGACCATCCGAATGGGGTACCAGGAACAGACCCGGGTCAGCTCGGTGCAAGGGGAAGACCGAGCCCACCAGACTCGGGCCCGCTTCCTCCCCTCCCAGCACCCCCCAATTTTCTTAAGTTCGGAGCAACACACGCAGTAAGATGCTCAGGGCGGTCCGGGTTTGTGGGGGGAGACCACTCACCCAGCATCTGCACATACCTGACCTGCCGGGGGGGTCCCGCACCGGCGGCGGGGGCCTTTCGGTGGGCGGGGGCGGCAGCGGGCCCGAGCGTCCCGCAGAGGGGCCGGGGGCCGGGGCCGAGGTGAGCGACAGGTTCCGCTGCGGGAGCCGCGGGATCTCGTCGGCGCCGCCCGGGCCGGGGGGCAGGGGCGGGGGTCCCGGTCGGCTGGGCGGCGGCGGCGGGGGGGCCTGCGCGGCGGGGCCGGGGACGGGCCGGGGGGTGCTGGGCACCGGGGGTTTGCTGTTCTGCGGCGGCGGCGGCGGCACCGCCTCGCGGTGCAGGGCCGGCCTGTTGCCCACCGGGGGCGGCGGCGGCGGGGGCTTGTCGTCCAGGGCCCGGCCCGGGGTCGGGGGCAGGGGCGGCCTGTTGGAGAAAGGGGAGGGGGCGCCCGACGGCGACTGCCGCACCGAGGCTCCCCCGAAAGCGGCGCCTCGGTGGCCGGGGAAAGGCGGCGGCGTTGGCCCAGGGCCGGGCTGCCGGGGAGCCCCGGGCACGGGCGGGGACCCCCGGTTGTGTAGGCTGGACTGGATGGGGCGTGGCGTGCTGGGGACTGGAGGGGGCGCGCTGTCGGGCTTGGAGCCCAAATCGGGCCGAGGGGGTGGCATCCGGCTCCTCTGCAGCTCGGGCGGGCCGCTGCGGTGACCCCCGGGGGCCCCGGGCACCGGGAACCTCCCGGGGCCACTGGGCGGGGAGAATGGTTTGGCCGACGTGGCTCTTCCTCCGGGCGGCAGCACGGGCGGCCGGGTTCCCCCAGCATCTGGAGGACAGAGAGGGACATTCAAGTTAGGAGATGCGGAGCAAGGAGGCCGTTCCCGCCCCGGGCCGCTGTCCTGGCCGCGCCCAACACTGGCCACCGGAATTTCTATCCAGGACGCCGCCGGGGTGCTCCGTCTCGGATCCCAGCCCCTGATCCCTGTTCTCTGATCGCTGCCTGGATCCCAGCTTGCTGATCACCTCCATGCCCCACGCCCTAATGGCTAGCACAGGATTTTGGAGCTGTCACTGAATGTTCTGTAGGGGTAGGGACTAGGGAGAAGTTGGCTAGAGTTTTGAGGAGGGGTTTCCTCATTATTGATGCGGACGAGAGCAGAGTGAGGACAGGACTTAAGGGTTTCTACTGGCTCCTTGCTCCTATTCTCGACCCTCTCTTTCCTCCCTTTTCTTGCCCTAATTCTTGTGCCCCTATTCTTGACCTCTGGAATTTGAAAAAATAATTTAGCCATTTTAGGAGGAAAAAAAAATTAGTATTCCCACACAAATCTCCGTATTTGTGAAGGGGCCTTGGAGGGCCCTTTGAAGAGATGCTCCCCAGGGAAGGTGAGAAACTGATGGAAGAGCTGTGATAAGAAAGAGCTAACAAAGGAGAAAACAATGGTCCCAGTTCAATGGAAAGAGCCAATGCCTATGGATGGTCTTAACTAAGGAAGAACAAGGCAGTTTCCCAACTTTCTTCTTTCCTGGGTCAGTTTAGATAGTGTAAGGACAGAACCTAACTAAAGAGCTTACATGAAACTGCTCTGGTTCGAGAAAGACAATCATGGAAAGGGGGACAGAAAAACTCAAATCAAACTCTAGCAACTCAAGGTAATTCTCAAGACTGCAATGGCAGTCCAGAGGGTAAGGCATTTGTCTTGCACCCAGCCTACCGAGACTCAATCCCTGACACTTCATATGGTCCCCCGAGTGCCACCAGGAATGATTCCTGTGTGCAGAGCTAGGAGTAAGACCAGAGCACCGCCAGGTATGGTCCAATCCCCTCTTCCCAAAGAAAAAGAACTACCTTAAAAGATAAAATCAAAATAAGGATTAGCTTAACAATGTCTACCATTTCTGGCATGAGCTCATTAAGATACTGGATATTTATTTCCATTTTTTAAGGGGGGGCTATTGGGGAGGAGAGAGGGCCTCTCAAGCAATGCCCAGGATATTTGTGGGTCACTTCCAAAAATATTCAGCCAACTGGACTGTTCAATGCCAGGCTTGATAAGGGGGCACAAAAACTTGGGCCCAATGTTACTGGGGACCACTAGGTCTACCCAGGTAATGCTCAGAAGGCCTTATGTTGCTGGAGATCAAACTTGGGTCTCGGTCTCATATACATGCCAGTCACGTGCTCTAGACTTTTTAGTTACCTCCTTGATCAGTACCCCAGTTTTTCTCAGCTTTTTTCCCCAATCATGTCTCCCTTCCTATGTTTACTTCACCCCACTATGTTTGCCTTCACCCCACTTGCCACCTTACTGGTGGGCCCCCTATTCTTTTTCTATAGCCCCTATTTGTGTAATTTTTCACCTGTAGCCCCCTTGGAATATCCTGGTGACAGATATCCACAGGGGTGTGCATATAGCCCTACTGTACCTGAGAGTTTTAAACATTTGCTCTGTGCCAGCAGCGATGTTAGATACTAGACACAGAGCAGCAAACAGGTACTGTTCTCTCATAGTTTACTCTGTGAGAAGATGAACTATCAACACATCAGTTTTAAGTATTGCCAGTCTGGGGAGAGCAGTATAAAGAAACAGTAGTGCACTGTTGGGCTGAAAAGGCTTGGAGTGGTGAGGCTGGATCGGGGTTGGGCCATTCTCCTGATGCGGTCACTCTGGAAGGGTGAGAGTCCTATAGGAAGGTGAAGATGGAGTTCAGAAAATGGGTCACTAGGCCCTGCTGGGGGAATGAACTTCTAATGAGAACTGAGGCCCGAGTGTCTAGGGCTCAGTGAGCGTGGGGTGGGGGTGGGGGGACAGCAGCAAAGGGAATCAGATGACCCACAGGGTAGGGTTTATAGAGCTTAGAGAGAGAAGAAGATGGGGTTCAATTATATCTGAGGTGCACCGAGACGCTGAGCAGATTGACTCAGTGAAGAGACATGAATGAACTAGAGATAATTTTGACTTCAGTATTGGGGGAAAGTGTATTTCCTAGACCTGTGGTACATTTCTATCTTATCAACTTAAATTTTTATCTACCAAGTTGTTATTAAAGGCAAGGTTATGATCCACAGAACCATTAAGTGAATGGTATCCATCATGTGGATAGTACTAACAGGGCGCGTTTAAACCTGGAACATTGTTTTGTACATAAACTTCAATTCCATTCTTATCTTCTTATTTTACTTCCAGTACTGTTTGGCTAAATTTCCTTACCTCTTGCTAAAATATTGAATGTATGCATTTGTGTGCTACTCAAATCTATTTGGCTATCTTAAAGCAATCAACTGAAAGGTAGCCTTGTGGATAAACTTTTTCATGATAATTAAGTCTCTAGATTTTTAGTGCTAACCCTAGAATGTTAACACAGTCACTAACTGATGATTTGGTGACTTTGTCTTCTTAGGAATGTTTCACTTTTCTAGTGGCCAAGTTAAAAGATTCTACAACTAGAAACAATATTCTACTGATACAAAACAAAATTAAAAAAAACCTGAAAACATTTTAGGTGAAATTTCTCAAGCTTTTGTAAGCTTTCTTAAGCTCTGGTCAGAAGAGGCCCAGAGGACTGGAGAGACAGTATAGCAGGCAAGGCATTTGCCTTGCATGTTGCTGACCTGGGTTTCCCATTATCCCATTATACCCGAGCACCACCAGGAGTAATTTATGAGTGCCAAGTCAGGAGTAATCTCTGAGCATTGCCAAATGTGGCCCTAAAACTTTAGAAGAAGAAGATAATGAAGAGGGCCAGGGTGCCTGGTGAGGTCTTTGCTTTGATCATGGCCACACTTGAATTTTCTTTCCACCAGGATATTCAGAGACGGTAAGGGAGGATTCAGTGCCCGGTTCCCATCAGGGATAACTGAGCATCACTGACCTGAAATGCCGAATGTCTGCCTTTTCAAAGAAGAGTCAGATCAGACACACCTTTTCAGATGAGGGTCAGATCAGCCACTGAACAAGCTCCCTCAGTGTGTGTGGAGTGGGTCACCCAATGGGTGAGCCCTATCAGCTAGTCAGGCTGCCTTTGAAAGGAAGCTGCATTTGCCTGCTCACCAGGCAGCGCCTGGGGGTGACCTTTCCCATCTGCTCTTTCACTCCAGCTCACCCTTTAGCAAGGTATAAAAAATGACAAGTTCTCTATCCCAAGCACCCTGCACAAAGGTTGGGTGCACAATGGAACTGCTGGATCCTGATTTTGATACTATTAGAAGGAAAAATAAATAATAAAAGCCAGGGAGATAGTTCAACAGACTGGGCCTGCTCTGGATGCAGGAGACCTGGAGTTTAATCTCCTTCCCCTAGCACTGCCAGGAATAACTCTTGGGTCCAGTGTGACCAAGTCCTGAGCACTGCCAGACACAGCCCAGAGGCAAAGCAAAACAAAAAGATGCGACTTAATGGCTCTCTTACTAAGCTCTGTGAACATTTCAAGCAATCTCACTCCTTCTAAGGGGTGCAGAGTCCTCAAGGGGATGCCCAGCCTCCAAACCACCTGGACGTTGCCCTGTCTTCCCTTTTGAAGGAAGAAACTCTCCTTACCACTATCCCGGTTGGCTGTGGATCTCAGCTTTGGCATTCCAGCCTGGAACAGTCCTCCCAGACCGGGACCGGCCCCTCCAAAACCTCCGCCACCACCACCGCCACCACCACCGCCACCAAATCCGCCACCACCGGCACCGCCTCCTTTAGGCTCTGTAGAAGGAAGAAAACAATCTTTTCACATGGATGCAGATACCTTGCCAGTACTTCACAGGTCCCAGCTCCAGTGGACAGTCACAGTAAAAGTGGGAGCTGGTTTAAACAGACTTTGAGTAGCAACGAGGACTTCACTAAAATGCACGGTTATTAGGCTTGTCTCCCCTGCAGGGAGGCCAGAAAGAATGCTCTGTGAAAGGATGGGTATGGAATGTGAGGACGTGGCAAGCTTCTATATGAATTATCAGCTATTTCTTCTATATCTATCTATTATTTGGCAAATAAAATGATCCTCAAGGAAGAAAAATCCCAAGGGAAAGGAAAGATACAATGAAAGGTCAGAGAAAAGGAAATAGTAACAAATGAGGCATGGAATATGAAATGCTATCTTAGACACACTGTTCGGGTGAGCTTTCATTATATGTATATATACACATATTATATATACATTACATAATATATATTATATATTTCATATATATTACATATACATATAACATAAATAAATATAGGTCTTAAAATAAGATGAAAGCCCCTATGTAGTTTTTAGCAGTTTATACTTTATTTCCCATGTCATTAAACATTCTTTGAAAACACAAGTTTAAAGGACTGCACAGTGTGTATAATATGGTTATTTTGTAATAAATTTGCCCACAAACTTACCTCATGACCTTTAGACTGTTTTCGATTTCTTTGTTGTGTCGTGGTAGAGCGTTGGGGACCATGTGGGGCTGGAAACTGGGCCCTGTACATGCAAACCTGTATTCTACCACGGGAGTCACATCTCTGACCCTGGTTTCAATTTTTAACATCATAAAGTCTAACAGTAGCTTTAGCATTTAAAACATTCTTTGCAATCTGGCATCAAGATTTTGCTTTGCAATTATTTCCCAAAAGTTATGAAAGATTTTGTATTGAAATAATTATAAAAAGGAGAGAAGAAGAATGAATTCTAAGAATCTTAACTAGACTCTTGGGTTATTTCTTATATCTTGATCTATTTTATAACTCTGAAAGTTATAGAAAACTGACACTAATGCAATCATATTTGTCCTCAGAAATGCCTATTAGGTGTGTTCTGCATTAGACTGATTGATGTGTTATTTATGTATTTATTTATTTATTTTTGCTTTGGGGACCACACCTGGCACTGCTCAGAACTTACTCCTGGCTCTGTCCAGAACTTACTCCTGGCTCTGTGCTCAGGGATCACTCCTGAGAAGCAGGTGAACCAAACAGGGTGCTGGGGAATCAAATCTGGGTTGTCTGCATGCAAGGTAAGCACCTTACTTGCTGTATGATCTTTTCAGCCTCTAATTGAACTGTTTTAATAAACCTATTTGTAAATTTATTTTAGTATTTATATATGTGCTGTTTTAAATTCTCCTTCTTCTAGTGGCACACACCTGGCTCTATGCTCAGGGGTTCAGGTGATATTCAAGATTGAAGCTGCATTTTCTCAACTGGGTGTCCTGTATCTCGTATCTTCAGCCCTCTCCTTTGGGGCTGATACTTGTTCCCTAATTAATAAATGAAATAAATTCTTGACATATGTTCATTTTGTTCTTGACATACGTTCTTGACATATGAGCAGATGCCATTGGGCTACATTAGCACGCGACAGGGATGAATGGAGACGTTACTGGCGCCCACTTGAGCAAATCGATGAGTAACGGGATGTCAAGTGATCAAGTGATCAAGTGATGTTCATTTTATATCTGCATGAGAATGACTATTACCTTGGTTAAAATAACTATGCATATTACATTTATATTTATGTAGTCAAACACTCTTAAAAGCTCTACCCTCGAAAATCTATTAATCACTGGGCATTGGTTTGTCCTTTCATTGGTAAGGATAATATGAGTTTACAAATTTCCAGCTTAATCTGGAACACTGATCCTTTCATTTTACTCGGACCACATTCAGACTTTTCCCCATATCTTTCTTTGGTTTGTCCAGCTAAGTTTTGTAATTTTTGTGATAGGTGCTTCTTGTTCGGTTTACTTCAAAAACATTCTTTTATTTGTTAAAATTGTAAAAGGGATTTATTTTTGTTATAGTTACTGACCTCAGGATATTTCATTTGAGGGGTCCAGAAAGACAGCACAGTGGGTAAGGTGCTTGACTTGTATGGGTCCAAGGCAGATTTGATCCTCAGCACCCAGTATGGTCCCCTGAGCATTATCTGGAGTGATCCTTGAACATAGTGCCAAGAGAAAATTCTGAGCATTACAAGGTATGGCCCCAAAGTCAATTGTGTATATAATTTGATATCTAATATGCCACTTTGTTATATTTTATATGTTAAAATTTACAATAATCACTATATCTGAGCCAGAGCAATAGTACAGCAGAGAGACTCTTGCTTTGCATGTGGCCAACTGGGTGGGTTCAGTCCCCAGCACCTCATATGGTCTCTGAGCCGTGCCAAGACTGATTTCTTTGTGTAGAGCCAGGAGTAATCCCTCAGCACCACCAGGTGTGGCCCACCGAAAACCTTAAAGTAATATAGATAAACATTTTATCTTGGATTTTCTGGTAGGTATATGACTGCAAATAATAAAGGTTTTATTGTATGTATATGGTGGGGTGGGGGCAGACCCAGCCCCTGGCAGCTTAGTGCTCAAGGCTGTGGTTTTGGGGGCCACTTGGGATACACCAGAGGTGCCTGCTATGGCCATGTAGCACATGGTCTTATGCATGCAAGGCACACATTCTATCCCTTTGCATGATCATGCCGACACATTTCTGCACCCTCTTTTGCACCTATGCGTATTATTTCTGCTTTATAAAATAATTTCTTTCATGACTGAACTTCCATAACAATGTACATGATTAATACTGCTGAAAGCAAACATTGTGATTTTAGTAAGAAGGTTTCAAAGTTACATATTAACTGCTGCCTAGAAATCATTTTTTCCTCTTCTAAATATTCACTGTCAGCAAGGGAAAAAGTCATTTTTCCCTTCTAAATATTCTCTGTCAGTAAGGTTTCTGTGACATGGGATTTTTACCAAATGCCTCTTTCGGATCTATTGAGATGATTCTATGGTTTTTCTGTTTAATATGATGGATTCACAGTCTTCCAAAGTCTACGAGATAAGAGATTCATCTTAAAAATGGATAAACTTTGGCCTCAGTGAAAAATTCTATTAATATACTATTGAATAAGATATTTATTTTAGTCTCTTGTCTCTGATCATATACTGATTCATAATAGGGCTTTTGAACTTTGGAACTGCTGACATTTGGGGTCAGAGACTTTTTTGTTTTGGGTAGTTGTCTTGTTTCTGTAGGATGTTTGCAACATCCCTGGCTTCCGTCCACTTAATGTCAGGAGACACCTCTCCCTTTCCAAGCTCTGACAAACCACAAAAGCCATTGTCTGACATTGCCACACGGTGGCCAAAACATTAACATGCAGCTCTATGTGCCAATGTGCTACTTTTGTCAAGTTTTGGTATTAGGATCACACCTTTCTCATTACACCCATCATGAAGCTTTCCAGCTGGTCATGTGATGGGAAATGACTTTTACAGCATTTGAATGAGCTGTTCCTTAAACTTGGAAAGAATTTACTGATAAAATAAAAGACTTTGAAGCTATTTAAAGAGAAGTAATTTAATAAAGGTTTAAGGGGTTTGTTTTGGCTGAGCATTGAGGCATTATGAGTTAACTTTGGCACTTGGTGGCAGGGATAAGGGGGTGGTTGAGGCTGGGCCACACCTAGTGGTACTCAGGGCTTACTCCTAGCTCTGTGGTCAGGGATCACTCCTGGTGATGCTCGGGGGACCATATGTGGTACTAGAGATAGATGCAACTAGGGTCAGTTACATTCAAGGCAAATGCTTTAAATTTTGTACTATCTCTCTGGCCTGGTAGTAATTTTTAAAAATTAATTTCTTAAAAAATTCAAAATGTTTCTTATATAATTTTACCACAGAATCCTCAACTTTTCAAAATATGCCTTGAATTTTGTATCTTCTTTCTGGGCTTTAATTTTATTCCTTCGTGTTTTTCTTTTTACTGCATTAGATTTATCATAAGTCTGTGTTTGTTCAGTATCTTTTCTAGGTCTGGAGCTTTCTGGGCTACCTATGAGAACTCTTTGATAGAAAAAAATCTGATAACAAACAGACACGATTTACTTCACTTAAAAAAGAGAAATCAGAATAATAATTTCTTGAAGTGCACACAAAGTCACTTCAATATAAAACTTCAAACTTATTTTAATTACTATCAAAAACATCAATGATATCTCATCATTCACTAATTTCCTTTTGTGTTGGGGCCATATCCAGTGATCCTCAGTGAACCATATGTGATTCTGAGGATGGATTCCAGGTTGGCCATGTTCAAAGTGAGTGCCCTACCCACTCTGGTCCCATAATTCACTAATGACTGTCACAGTTCAGAGTGAGTATTACACTTGCACAGTATGCTTTTTTGGCAAGGTGCTGAATATCCAATGAATTGGATGTACAAACAGGCAACATCTATTAATGCTCTTCACCTGGAATGCTTGGACACCTTTCAGATAGAGAAGCTAAAATTGTTGAAAACTGCCAACAGTCGCCATGTCACCTCATTAGTGATTTAATTACAAGAGAAGGTTGACTTTAAGAGTCCCATATCATGTAGAACATGGTCAGCATTCTGCCAGATACCCTAGAGTGGTTTCACCTGCACACAAATATAAAGCCATGAGCAGATCTGACCATTTTCAAAGAGCTTAGGACAACATTTTGGGCTTCTAACTAAGTGCACGGGCACATCACCATGCATTGAGTTGCACCTTGTGTTCAACCCAACCAAACAAAGGGGTTCTTAAGTAGCAGTCAAGAAATGGAAGGGAGAAGGACTGACTTTTATTTCCACTTGATTGAAGTGTGAACTCTGAGGAAAATGAGTTTCCAGCAGAGCACTCAGGAATAACTTCCATTTCACCTCATGTCCTTCAGTATCAGAATTCACACCCACCTTTCCTGAGTCCTAGGCTTTCTCTCTAGTGAAGGCCATACCACTGGGTGTCCAGCTAGCCAGCACTCTGTGGAGTGCTTCAGTCTGTATGACACACCATGACTCAGACAGCTCTGATGGGCCAGGTCACTGCAGATACAAGCAACTATTCCTGGGCATCCCCCTTGAAAAGTCTTGTGACACCAAGGAGAGAACATTCCATAACCACATTGTTTTTGTGGACATTCTGACCTAGAAGTAAGACTGTGTCAAGGATCCCACAGTTTCATTCTGTGGTTGCCTTTGCCTGCTAACAGCAACAAGACCAAAAGGTCTCTTTCTTGTTCTTCCTCTTTTCTATATTCTCCTACATCAATGTTCTTGTTGGAATCTGATCCTCTTCCTCTACCCATTAAATAACTTCCCCCAGAAATCCACTACTTGGCTGAAATCTTGGCTCATAATTCACTTGTCTATGAAGATCCCTCTGGGATTTTGGAAGATCATTCTATTTCCTATTGAGTCCAAATGGATTCTGTGGTCCTAGGATAATTTTTGGGGACATCTGGCTGCCAATGGGAAGGTTGAGGAATGTGGGGAGAGAGATTCAAGGACCAACTATCAAGAACCAGTCGAGTCTAGGCATGGAAAATCATTCTGGTGTAAATATTAGGAAGAGCCCTGTGCTGCGGGTACTTGTTTACACAGACCCTGCCTTATTCTAGAAAGTTGGTCAGCCTCACAGAGGGTGGAGAAGTTAAACTGCAATCTCACTTCCTCTCTCTCAAGCTCATGATCTCCCTAACTTAAACTTGAACGACAAACTCCAGACATCAAAACATTGCAGCAGAATATTCTCTCCATCTGAGCAACAAAGGCAATGAGGAGGCTTGGAAATGATGGATGTGTCAGAATTCAAACCCATAGCTTTGGGTTCCCAGGCTAAGATTCTTTCCATATTTCAAGCTGCCTTTTAATCTGTGGTGCAAGGAGCAAGGGGTTAAACTTCCAGAAAGTGTCATGAATAAGTCATAGAATCACTGCTGTGTGTGTCTGGGACAAAGAATTATTATACTGGCTTCCAGCAGCATTAGAGGAAACCCAAGCCAGAGACAGAGCCTACAATGAATGATACATTCCCTTATTCTGTTAGCTCTGCAGCTGTTGTTAAACCAAAAAAAAAAAAAAAGAGAGAAGAAGAAGAAGAAGAAAAATTGGGGTGAGAAGGGTAGAGTTGCTCGTTAGGCTTTAAACCATTAATCTCCCATGGAAAGTGCTTTCTTGCTTTATTTATTTATTTTATTTATTTATTTTGACTTACTGTCCAATATTGGTGCACTTCTGTCATTGGTGACTGTCTTCTTTAGCTTCTTCCCTTTGCTGATGTCGGAGAGAAGAGCATTTCTCCCAGCCTGCTCCGACTTATTCAAGGAAGGCTTTTCTGTGTTGGCCTGAAAGGAAACCACGCAACCTCGTATTCATCCCTTGAATTAAAATCGTGTACTCCAGTGCTCTGCGGGAACAGACTGAGCCCTGGAAACTTGTTATTAAGGTTCTGGATGATAGGTTGTATATTCTCCACAAGTTTCAGTCCCGATGTCACTGTTTTTAAGACCCAGACATTTGGGAGCAGATGCTCTCATAAATTACACCGGGCTTCTCATGCAGGAAGAGCCAGGGCTGGCGGCTAGAACAAGATGGGAATTTTAAGTCTGAGAAGCTCCCGTGGGACACCATGAGGCTTCTCTTTCCAGATTGTACCCTCGAGAAGAGCTTCTTTTTCCTATCCCTTGGAACTAAGCCATTGCAAAGGGAAAACTGTATCCTTTTTAAAGGAAAAAAAAAAAGGGAGGGGAGCAGGGCCAGCCATAAGTATTTTAAAATACCAAAGTTTTAGAAAATAATCCTGTCTACATTGCTGAAAACCTTTTTCCTTTATCACCTGTTTGAGGGATAATTTACAAATTTACATATAGTAGAATCACCCTTTCATGTAGGTTTCTATCAGTTTTGATATCTGCCATCATGAAACCATGCATTATGGGCCCAGGGAACTTGTTCCTTACCACTAAGAGTTTTTTCATCTCCCTTTGCTCCAACGTATTTCTAATAACAAATAATTGATTAATATTGAATCTCTGAGCACCTAGATCCCCCAAAATAAATGGCCAGATCGTACCAAGTAGGAAGTTAGACTTTTAGAAATTGGGGAAATGGGTATTTTCAGAATTTCTGGGAAAGAGATGTGTTTTTGTTATTGTTGTTGTTGTTTTTAAAAGAAATTGGAGCTCACTCTTTCAGGGTTATTTCAGGGAGCGGGGACAGAAAACATCAGGATGGAAATTGGGAGAAAGACCAGCATCTGTGTCTATCACACCTGGAAACTGGCTCAGTCTCAGGGGTCCCAGGGAAAAGTTTGCTTCCCCAAGTCCTTCCAGCAGACCTGAGAGGCCTAGGGCAGCCCCGACATTCCCTTCTTAAGAGACCTTCTGATTTGAGATGTGCTAGTTTGGGCAACAGGAGGCAGATACCAGGGGAAGCTCCAGTAGCTGGCTTACTGGGCAATCAATGATGATCAGAGGTAGAGGCTGAGGGAGAGATAAGGAAAGCCCTGAAAAAAGTAGGCTAAATATAGGCTACAGAGATAATACAATGGGTAAGGCGCTTCTTCTACACGCTGCCAACCCGAATTTGATCCCAGGCATCCCATAATGGCCCCTGAGCCCCACCATGAGTGATCCCTAAGCATAGAGCCAGAAGCCCTGAGAACAAAAGCAGAAAGTCAGTTGTGGGTCCAGAATGATAGTACAACAGGCAGGGCACTTGTCTGCAGCATGCAGCTGGGGGTTGATCCCTGACACCACATATGGTCCCCTGAGCCCTGCCAGGAGTGATCCCAGAGGGCAGAGAGTTAGGGACAACGCCCTGAGCACCTCCTGGTGTGGCTCAAAACAACAAAAACCAGTCCCCACCTCCACCCCTGCCCCCAGGCACCAAGAAACATACAAAAAACAAACACAAAAACAACCCCAAACCCCATGTTAAGCTAAATAGAATCACAGTGTGTTAAGTTGGAAGGGTCCTGAAGTTTGTTATAAAGTTTCATTTGCTTAAGATGCACAGGTTAATTATGCAGCTTTTACTTTGGGTCAGGCACTGATTTTAGCATCTTGCATGTCTTAATTCATTTTCATCTATCTGAGTCACTCCCATTTTTGAGACAAGGAAGTTAAGGCCAGGAAGGTGGAAAGAAGTTAAGATTTAAACCATAGCAACCTGACTCCAGAACCTTCTCTGATGGAAGGTTAAATAGGAGATCTAAAATACTTCATGAGCCAGAAAAATAGCTCAATGGGCTGGAGGCCCTGGTTTGACTCCACACAATTGCTGGGAGTGATCTCCAAGCACAGATCCAATTGTAGCTCCGGAGCACTGCTGGGTTTGGCCTCCAAACCAATTAAAAGTAAACACAATGAGCTCCCATTTGACGCAGCAATACCACTCCTGGGAATATATCCCAGAGAGGCAAAAAAGTATAGTCGAAGTGACATCTGCAATTGTTTGTTCATTGCAGCACTCTTTATAATAGCCAGATTCTGGAAAAAACCTGAGTGCCTGAGAATAGATGACTGGTTAAAGAAACTTTGGTACATTTACACAATGGAGTACTATGTAGCTGTTAGAAAATAGGAAGTCATGAAATTTACATACAAGTGGTACTACATGGAAAGTATAATGTTAAGCGAAATGACTGAGAAAGAAAGGGATAGACATAGAAAGATTGCATTCATTTGGGGAACATAAAGTAACAAAATAGGAGACCAACACCCAAGAATGGCTGAGATTAGTACCAGGAATTTTATTCCATGGCGTGGAGGCCAGCCACACGTGCTAGGGGAAAAGGGACCTCAGATAGAGAAGGGAGCACCAAATAAAGGGTGTTGGGAGGATCCTCCCAAGATAGGAGAAGCATGCTTAAAGTAGACTATAGACCAAACATGATTGTCCCCATTGCCTCTTTTGCAAACCACAACACCCAATAAGAAAGAGAGAGAACAAAAGGGAATGCCCTGCCACAGAGGCAGGGAGGGATGGAGGGGATGAGGGGTGGGAGGGATACTGGGATCCATGGTGGTGGGAAATGGGCACTGGTGGAGGGATGGGTATTTGATCATTGCATAATTGAAACCCAAAAATAAAAAATTAATTAATTAATTAATTAAATAGGTAAAGGTAAGGTAAAGGCCCTCCTGTTGATCGTCGATTTGCTCGAGCAGGCCCAGTAACGTCTCCATTGGAGACTTTGTTGTTACTGTGTCTGGCATATCGAATACGTCACGGGGAGCTTGCCAGGCTCTGCCGTGCAGGCGAGATACTCTCGGTAGCTTGCCGGGCTCTCCGAGAGGGGCGGAGGAATCGAACTCGGGTCGGCCATGTTGGCCGCTTGTAAGGCGAACGCCCTACCCGCTGTGCTATCGCTCCAGCCCAATTAAATAAATAAATAAAAGTAAACACAATAGCTCTTTCCCATCAACCCCCAACACTTTAGCCTAGTGAAAGCTCTGGCAATCCTGGAAATGCTCTTGCATAGTTTGTTTTTGCTAATGGAATCGTCCTCTAGTGCTCTGTTTTTTTCAGCTTGGGCATCCTGGAAATAGCTTTTACAATCACTGACTGTCTTCAATTTTAAGGATGAAGAAAACTTAAGGTCCAGGCAGGCCAATGGTCGTGCCCACACTGTGTCTCCTCAGGGTTGGGGTTCAGCGACCTTCATTCTTTGGCCTCTACATTCTTGTGGGCACCTGATTTCCCAGGAACAGAGAGGTGGGTAACTGCTCTTATGTGCCATCCAGGCAGGCCCTGAACTGCTATGCACCTGTACTAAGAAAGAGTGTCCACAGGCAGTAACCTCTCTCTGTTGGATGCCAGCCCGCCTCTCTCTTTCCTCAACTCCACTTCCTGTTGCTAGGAGCCTGCTCTTCACCAGGTCATTATGGACGAAACAAATTGACAGGCTATGCCAGGATTAAACTTCTGTCATTCTGGTACCATTTTCATAATTTTTTGGCATCGTCGCATGCTTCTTTTGTTTTTATTTATATTTTTTCATGAATTAACTTCATGAAAAATATAAATAAGATGTTTATTTAAATAATTTAAATCTAAATAAATAAAGATGTTTTTGGTAAACGCGTTTCCTTTCTTTTCTTTTTTTTGGGGAGAGGGGTCCACACCAGCTGATTTTTACTCCTGGCTTAGTCCAGGTTTTACTCCTGGCTCTGTGTTCAGGGAACAGTCCTGGTGATGCTCCAGGAACCATATGAGTGCCTCAAATCAAACCTGGGTCGGCCTGTGCATCTTACCCACTATACTATCTCTCTGGCTGCAGTAAGTGTTTTCTTAAAAATGAACTCATTATTAAATCCTGGACTTGATATCATTACCTACTGCTAATTACAATTTTCAAAGCACACACTAAAACACATGAACATTAAAAATTAAAAAATACTTGTTCATGTGCTTCACAGTATGGTTACAAGCAACACTTTAGGGGAATTAGAAACAAATTCCAGCCAGATGAGAGCTTTTCATGTTTACCAAAGAACTTAAATTCATTATTATCTATGAATGATTTTACTTTGGTGGGCCTGGTGACCACACTCAGAAGTACCTACAATTTCTGGGTCTGTGCTCAGAGGTCACTTGTGATACTGGGAATTGAAAAGGGGCTGGCAACATGCAAGACAACCCTTGAACTACCACTTCAGCACATAAATATCATTAAAAAAAACTACTACGCCATGAACTGATACTATTGTAAAATAATAATAAATCATCATTATTATTATTGGTTTTTAAAAATGATAGTTTTAGAAACAAAATGAACATAAAACATTACAATAAAATTGTGTATTTCTAAGTGCTGACCCTCAATTTCTGTACCTATCTCCTTGGACATTTTAGCCTGTTCTAAAGCCTATTGGCAGGATCATGCTTTGAGGAGCAATGAGCTAATTCACAGTTTGTTCTTCCAGCTAGATTGCAACCACAAGTGGGCTAGACAGGTGAAGCCTGGGCAGGAGACTTTTCCTATCTGAGCTTCAGTTTCCCCAAGAGGAAAAAGCCAAGGCACATGACTTTTCAGGGAAGTGTTCCCAAGCTATGGTATGCCTGGGAAGGAATCCCTCAGGTCCCTTAATGAAGGGCAGGCTTCCTGGAAGCCTAACTTCTGAGGACAAAACTGTCTAGGATCCAGGATGAACCCACGAATAAAATCCCTTTGGAAAGTAGCATCTAAAAGCAAGGAGAGGCTTAAAGGAGGATGTGTGTGTGTGTGTGTGTGTGTGTGTGTGTGTGTGTGTGTGTGTGTACTGGGGTGTGGGTGGGATGAGGGAAAGTGATGCTAAACAGGGTGGTAGGGAGGAAGAAGCAGACAAAAAGAAAAGAGTTAAAGAATGAAAAAAAAATTTACAAAGGAATGTTTTGGGGTCCTGTTATGACTAGAGCAGCCCAGAAGTTAGAAGGGAGGTGTCAAATCGACGTGGATGGATGGATACTGTCTGAGGCCAACTGCCCCCACTAGCCCAGTGCAGGCCAGTGCCTGGGAATGATAGGATGTTTCAGTGGTAGGGTGCTGCAGAAACAACCATTCTAACCTTGATCCCCAGCGTCACTCACAGCATGAGATTGAGACTCAAAACCCTATGGTGTCAGCAGCATCACGTGGTCTGGCTTGCTCTGGCACCATATTTAAAACTTTTTGATAGGGGTCACACCAGCAGTATGGTGGGGACATGTCATGCCAGGGATCTACGTCAGGGCTCTGTCCATGTGCCCTACCCACTGTGCCATCTATCTCCCTGGCTCCCTCAGGCTCTCATAGTTAAGCCAGAAACAAATAGCTGAGAACAAACACAATACATGTGTGCAAATACAATACATGTGTGACTTCCTCCAGCTTGCTCCAGCATAGACAATGGAACAGGTGGCACCACTCACCAGAGCAAAAGTGGGGGGCGGTGGGGGTGCGGGAGGCGGAGGGACAGGCATCGTGGACAGTCAAGCTTTCACCAATCTTGCTGATAAACCTGCAGAAAAAGACCAATGAACAAAAGAAGAAAAACATGACCATTTGTTGGATTCTCAGGCATTAATCTGCGATCCTAATTTTCCTTACATACTTCTGCACCACAGGTACAGACATTAACTTCGCGTCTCAGCCCAGCATGTCACAGCCCAGCATCATCACCTTGTGAAGACAGACGGTACAGTTTGGAAAGGACCTGTTCAGGGGAGGTTTCTGAGCCAAAACACCTCTAGGAGCAGGAAGCAAACTCTGCCCATGACCCACCTCCACCCCTGCTTGGAGTGCGGGCTTGGGGGATGAGGATTGAAGGCAGACAGACCCAAGACCCACAACCTAGCAAGCTCAAAATTTCTGGGAACACTATTAGAAATGTCTCCTGGCAAAGGTGGAAGTTTGCTTCGCCTCCTGCTCCTGTTTTCATGACAAAACCATTTCTCGGCCCCTGCCCCCACCTACGTCTCCTCCACACCTCCTGATTCTTCTCCCAGTCCTTTGCTGGTTCATCTGCACTGAAAACAAGGACGGATGTAAGCCTGGATTTACCCTCAAAGTTTCTACCGTTGTCCAGGGATTGAGAGCCAGGAAAGCAAGGCAGGATTAAAATAGACCAAACAAACAAACAAACAAAACAACCAAAAAACAAAACAAAACAATAGGTCACAAATGGGATCCTTGTGCTGGGACCCTACCGGTCATCGGAGACAGCTGACAGCGGTGGCTGCCTCTCCTACAGCGTCTTCTGGATCTATCTGGGGTTCCAGATCAGCCCGGGGATGTAGGTCCTCAGCAAGATCCAGAGCCACTGCCCTTTCACTGCAGGAAGCCAACTTTACCCTAAATCTTTCTTCCTTCCTTTCTTTCTTCTTCTTTTTTTTTTTTGTTTGTTTCCTTCTTTGTAGTTAATTCCCCGCTCCCCCCCACCACACACACACCCTCCCCATAGCCATTAAGCTCAGGTCTTGCCCTGGGCCCTTTCTAAGCTGCTGGGTCACTTTCAGGACCTTTTTGGAAATCCGTTAGTATCAGGGGGCTTGAACTCACAATCTTACACCTGCCAGGCAAGTGCTTTCAAGCCACTGAGTCATTTTCCAGGCTTTTGGTTTTTGGTTTGTTTGTTTTGGGCCAAAGATCTTATCTCACTCTCTGTTTCTCTCTCTAAAAAAAAACCTCTGCATTTTGTGCAAACCCTTTCTACTTGTTTAATGGCATGTTGCTGACTTAGAACTTGTTTAATAAAACCAATCTGACCTCTAAATTTGTGAATTTTTGTTATTTTGATTTGGGGATCACACCTGGTGTTGCTCAGGGCTTACTCCTGGTCTGGTTCTGCACTCAGAAATCACTCCCAGAGGGACTCAAGGGACATATATGGTGCTGGGGTTTAAATTGAGGTTGGCCATGTACAAGACAAGGATTTTTTTTTCTCTCTTGAGAACAAAGGGGAGGTGAGACCGGTTAGGTTGGAGGACAGGGGAAAGGACTGGAGGAACAGAGGCAAAGTATGCGGCCCTGCATATTCCAGGGGCAAAGAGCCCATGGGGACGGGTATGAGGATGTAGATGAGAATGGGGCTGGGGTTGTACAAGGGGATGGTGATGGGGTTGGGGCTGGGGCTGGGGCTGGGCTGGGGAGCAGGATGGGGGAGGAAGTGCTTGGAGACACCTGCAGGCACACCAGGCTACCTTCTCCCGAATGCTTTGTGCCCTGTCCAGCAAGACCCCATCTGCCAGCCCCAGGTGGTGCCCACTCTTGGTTTCTCCCATCAGATCCTTGTTACTCCACTTATGCTAGCCAGGCAGCATGGCAGGTGCTAGGAATGCAAACTCTTAGTCCCTCTCCCCTGAATTTGTTTCAGCATTTTAGCAAGATCCCTGCATTCACATGCATGAGGAACACTAATGAGGTGCTAAAGGCATAAGGCCACCCCTCACACTGATTCTGGGTGACATGCACCTCCAATTTCAAAGAGCAGAGTTACTGCTCTTTTCTTTGCTCAGTTTGCCATGGAAAATAGCTTCTTAGAACATATTAGCTTAGTTCTGACATCAAAAAGTGAATGCAGAAGACTCACATGTTCCTGGAGTAGCCATAATGATGGGCACCAGGAACACAGGGTTCATAGCTCAGCTCTGTCACAGCTATGGGAGACAGAATTCACTGTGTCTGACAGTCCCATTCCAAGCGAGCCTGCTAGACTATCAGCTCAAAACCCAGCTGAACCCAACTCACAGCTTTGCTATTGACATGCAGCAGGACCCAGGGTGACCTTGCAAGGATCTGCTCACTTGACCGAGGAGATACCAAGGCCCCCAGACATGGAGACTCACTAGAAGACCCACAGCAACTCATTCAGATCTTGGGCTTTACATCCCCTTCTTCCTCTTGCTGTACTGCTTTGCTCTCCTGCCCCTTTCAAAGCCCTGAACGTGTTTTTCTGGTGGATGAAGAACAAGTCTTCTAGTTTATTTGTAAACTAGGTTGGAATCTATTTTTTAGTAAAACTGTCTCAAAAAAGGATAAAAAAAAAAGATTCCTGGACAGGAAGATTGCTCCATAGTTGGAAGCCTGCCTCATGGGGTGGGGGGAGGGTGAAAAGGCAGCTGGAATAGAGAACAGATCACTAAGAAAATGATGGTTGGAGGGATCGGTCGAGAAGGGAGACGTGTGCTGAAAGTAGATAAAGGACCAAATGTGCTGGCCTCTCAGTATCTGTACTGAAAACCCTAATGCCCCAAAGTAGAGAGAGTATGAGAGAAATTGTCTGCCAGGCAGGCAGGGTGAGGGTGGGAAAAGGGAGTATACTGGGGAGATTGGTAGTGGGAAATGTGCACTGGTGGAGTGTTTGATCATTGTATGACTGAAACCTGAAAGCTTGTAACAGTATCTCATGGTGATTATATATATTTATATATATGTGTGTGTGTGTGTGTGATTATATATATATATATATGATTCTATATATATAATCACACACACACATATATGTATATGAATAACCTGAAAGCTAGTCCAGATGTTAAGGTATTTGCCTTGCATGCAGCCAATCCTTGATTCCCAAGCATTACATAGGGTCCCCCAAGTACCCTTGAGCACCATGATTAAGCTCTGAGCACGTCTAGGAGTGAACCCCAAACAAAAATGGTTTCCTTTGAGGGGGAGAGCTCAAATGGTACAAGACATGTGTAGTATCAACAAGGCCCTAAGTTTGATCCCCCAGCACCACGTGGCCTTGGGGAACACCAATGGCTGTGGTGATGGTCCCTGATCACCTCCAGCCATGTGGGCTGTCGGGAGGGATTTCCTTGCCCCAGAGGAAGGCCCAGCCAGGGTCTGGCCTGGATTCAGGCTTGCTACGAGAGGTGCTGAATCAGAAAGTGGTACAGACAGAGATCAAGGTGGCAGGGGGTACCCTGAGATGGGGGATCTTTGGAGCAAGTCCTCTATGTGCTTGGAGGGATAAAGACACACATGAATGTAAGGAGCCTGCTTCTGTGTCCTCTGATTCACTTCTCTGCCTGTCAGCATCACAGTCAGGCTCTTGGGGGCGGGGGTGATAATACGTAGGAGTGGGCCCCCTCCAGCACCCTGGTTCTCCACACTCACTCTCAGGTGGCCTGGGTCAGAGGAGATACCCCCTCCCCAGCTGGGGGCCACACTGCAGAGCAGGCCGTCCACCCGCAGGGCCTCTTCCACTGAATGACTCCCCCGTTGCCTGTTGTTTTGGTTGTGTCTGTGTTCTCACTGACTTAAAAATAACCCCCGACCACAGGGGCTGGGCCCTGCCCTCTGGGCCATGTCCGCTACAGACACATGGGGAGAGGAAGTGTGGGTGAGCATCTTCCCTTTCCCAGAGTTCTTCTCTCAGCACTCTGGCTGCACCCACCTCCACACACCATCTTGGGGGCTCCTCCGACTCTGGCTTTTTCCTAAATGAACAGCCAGTGGCTGGGAGAGTTTGGAAGAAACCCTGAATTCTAATCCTGACATCTCAGCACTGGGTCCAAGGACACGAGTCTCATGCTCCTAGGTTGGGCTGCCACATGCCTGATTCTCTCCGGATTGTGGACTACTCCACCAGCAGTCCCTAGTCCACGAGACAAAGTAGGGCTCTGACAAATGGGAGAGCCAGGCAGGGGCTGCAGGGAAGTCTCCCAGCATCAGCCCTCTGCGTCTGAGATCTGGGCAAGGAGCCAGCCCTCTGTGAAAGGGGCCTGTAGTTCACCTGCTCCTCAGATAGGAAGAACCTAAGCTTTGAGAGAGTGGGGGCTTCTCTTCCCTCTGGGAGTCAACAGCCCTCATCAGAGTCAGAACTGGGCTGTCCTGAAGGGCCTCGAGCAGAGCTGATGAGAATGCACCCAGCACTGCCATCATGTAATGCTTGGCACTCAAGGGGTTACTAACCTGTTCACCTCCCCTAACTTCCAAACGAAAGCAAGCACTTCCTTCAGTTACCAATGGCAGCCACAAACCACAAGGCCTGGAAATTGTTTCACAAAGACCTTGCTATTCTTCTTCTTCTTATTATATTATTATTGGGCTGGAGTGATAGCACAGCGGGTAGGGCATTTGCCTTGCACGCAGCTGATTCCTCCGCCCCTCTTGGAGAGCTACCAAGAGTATCTCGCCCGCACAGCAAAGCCTGGCAAGCTACCCATGACGTATTCAATATGCCAAAAACAGTAACAACAAGTCTCACAATTTGTTGTGAGACATTACTGGTGCCTGCTCGAGCAAATCGGTGAACAACGGGAGGACAGTGACAGTGATTATTATTATTATTATTTTTAAAATTGGGGGTCTGGGGCTGGAGCAATAGCACAGCGGGTAGGGCGTTTGCTTTGCACACGGCCGACCCAGGTTCTATTCCCAGCGTCCCATATCATCCCCTGAGCACTGCCAGGAGTAACTCCTGACTGCAGAGCCAGGAGTAACCCCTGTGCATCGACAGGTGTGACCCAAAAAACAATAAATAAATAAATAAATAAATAAATAAAATTGGGG